CCCGCCGCCCCTGGCCGCGGCCACACCGCCGGCGAAGCCGCGCCCGCCGGTCCTGGCGCATGGCCAGACCGCCGGCGTCGACGCGCGCACCGCCGCGCGGCTGCGCCGCGGCAAGCTGCCGATCGACGCCACGCTGGACCTGCACGGCCACCGCCAGGAGGAGGCGCATCGCGCGCTGATCCGCTTCGTCTCGGCCCACCATGCCGCCGGGCGGCGCTGCCTGCTGATCGTCACCGGCAAGGGCCTGCGGCGCGGCGCGGGCGACCACGCGGCGCGCGCCAGCGACTGGGGCGGCGATTGGGGCGGTGATTGGGGCGGCGACTGGAGCGCCGGCTGGGGCGCGGCCGGGACCCACGGCGGCGCGCCGGGCCCCGGCGTGCTGCGCCGCCAGGTGCCGCTGTGGCTCAATGCGCCGCCGCTGCGCGACAAGGTGCTGGCCTTCGACTATGCCCGCCAGCAGCATGGCGGCAGCGGCGCGCTCTACGTGCTGCTCAAGCGCAAGCGGGATTGACCGCCCCGCCCGCATCACCCGGCCCCCGCATCACTCGGCCCCCGATCACCCGGCCCCGCATCACCCGGCCGCCGCGCCGGCCGGGTGGGCGCGGAACCAGGCGAGCAGGGCGCGCGTCAGCCGCTCCGGCCGCTCCAGCATCAGCCAGTGGCCGGCGCGCGGCAGGGCGAGGTAGCGCCAAGGCGCGGCCACGAAGGCCCGGGAATCGCGGATCTGCGCCGCGCCCATCAGGCAGTCCTCGCGGCCCCAAATCGCCAGGGTCGGCACCCGCACCGGCGCCGGCGGCGGCAGGTCGCCGCCGAGCGCGGCGGCGAGGAGCTGGTCGACCGGGTGCGCCAGCTCGATCCGGCGCATCGCCTGCAGCCGCGCCGGCTCGGCCACCAGGCGGGCGGTCAGCGCCGCGCCCTCGGGGTGGGAGGCGAGGTAGAAGCCCAGCAGGCGGCCGTCGCCGGCCAGCAGCGCCTCGGCCCCCTGGGGCGCCTGGCTGAGCAGGAAGTACCAGAGGTTGGCGAGCTTGGCGTGGTCGAGCTGCAGCAGCGCGCCCATGTGGCCGACGGAGATCGGCACGAAGCTGGCCAGCGCCTCGGGCGCCTGGGTCGCCATCTCCCAGCCAACCACCGCGCCCCAGTCGTGCGCCACCAGATGCAGCGGCCCGTCGCAGCGCGCGCGGGCCAGGCTCAGGATGTCCTCGGCCAGCGCCGGCGCGCTGTAGCGCTCCAGCTCCGCGCACCAGTCGCTCTCGCCGAAGCCCAGCAGGTCGGGCGCGAGCACGCGGTAGCCGGCGGCGGCCAGCGGCGCGACCTGATGGCGCCAGAGGCGGCCGTCGTCCGGCCAGCCGTGCAGCAGCAGCACGGTCTCCGGCCCGCCGCCGCTGTCGCGCACGGCATAGCCGGCGCCGCGCAGCTCCACCCGCTCCACCGCGTCGGCCCAGCCCTCGGCCGCGCGCCAGCTTCGATCCGCCTGTCCCGTCCCGCTCATCCCGGCGTCTCTTTCCCGTGCCGTTTTCCGCGTTCGCGGCGCCCCGCCTTGGTCCCCCTGTAGCCTTGGCCCCCCTGTAGCCTTGGTCCCCCTGTAGCCTTTGCCCGGCGGGGCCGTGGGGGCACGCTGGCGACACCGCAGGGCTGGCACGGCCGGACCGGACCGTCTAAAAGTAAACTGTACCGTACCGTTTTATTCAAGCGTGTGAGTGGAGGCCGCATGGACGGAGAGGGGGACCGGCCGGGCGGGCCGGACAGGCCGGAGGGGGCCGCCGGCGCCGCCGCCGCCAACGCAGCTCCGAACGCGACTCCGAGCGCGACTGCAAGCGCGGCCCCCGGGGCGGCGCGCAGCCCGCGGGCGCCGGACGGCCGCCGGGCCCGCAAGCGCGCGACGATCGTCCAGGCCGCCACCAGGCTGTTCCTCGAGGGGGGCTTCGAGGCGACCAGCATGGACGCGCTCGCCGCCGCCGCCGGCGTGTCCAAGCGCACCCTCTACGCCCACTTCCCGGCCAAGGAGCGGCTCTTCGAGGCCATCGTGACGGAGCTCTGCGAGGAGATTCTGGAGCCGCTGCGCCGGCCGGAGACGGCCGGACGCCCGCCGCGCGCCACCCTGCTGGAGCTCGGCCGCACCTTTCTGGGGGTGATGCTCTCGCCGGCCGGGCTGGATCTCTACCGGACGGTGCTCGCCGAGGCGAAGCGCTTCCCCCAGCTCGGCGCGCTGTTCTACCGCTGCGGCCACCAGGCCGCCGCCGCGCGCCTGGCCGCCTACCTGCGGGACCAGCAGGCCCAGGGCCGGCTGCGGCCGCTCGATCCCGCCGCGGCGGCCGAGGCCTTCCTGACCCTGGCCGCCGGCTTCGCCTACGAACGCGCCCTGCTGTGCCCCGGCACGCAGATCGCGCCGGCGGAGGTCGAGCGCTGGCTGACCCAGGCGGTGGACCTCTTCCTCGACGGCCTCGCGCAGCCGCCCGCCGACCAGGCGCCGGGTTAAGACCTGTGTCCGGCTTGCGGTGCGGGCCGGGAACGCCCGAAACTGCGGGCGAACCGCGTGCCCCCAACTCACGCAGAAAGGGATCCGCCATGCATCTTGAGGGCTCCTGCCACTGCGGCGCCGTCGCCTTCAGCCTGGAGAGCGCCACGCCGGTGCCCTTCCAGCGCTGCTACTGCTCGATCTGCCGCAAGACCCAGGGCGGCGGCGGCTTCGCCATCAACCTGGGCGGCGCGGCCGACAGCCTGGCGGTCGCCGGGGGCGCGGCAATCGGCACCTACCGGGCGCACGACCCGGAGGGCGCGCCGGGCACGATCAGCGAGGGCGAGCGCAGTTTCTGTACCCGCTGCGGCGCCGGCCTGTGGGTCTGGGACCCGCGCTGGCCGGAGCTGATCCACCCCTTCGCCTCGGCCATCGACACGCCGCTGCCCGCCGCGCCGGAGCATGTCGACCTGATGCTGGCCTACAAGCCCGACTGGGTGGTGGTGCCGGAAGGGCCCAGCAGTCGCTTCCAGATCTACCCCGAGGAATCGCTGGAAGCCTGGCACCGCCGCCACGGCCTGCTCGACCACAAGGCGAAGTAGGCCGCCAAGGTCTCGTTAAGGCATATGTGATAAACGGGGATCGAGTTCACAACTTCGGTCAGTGAAAGATCTTCGGCATGACCCCCTTCGGCCAGCGCCTGCGTCACCTGCGCACAGCCCGCGGCATCGCCGCCAAGGACATGGCCGCCGCCTTGGGGGTCAGTCCGGCCTACCTCTCGGCGCTGGAGCACGGCAAGCGCGGCCGGCCCAACCGCCGCTTCGTGCATCAGGTCTGCCAGTTCTTCGGCATCATCTGGGACGAGGCCGAGGAGCTGCAGCGCCTGGCCGACCTGTCGCACCCGCGGGTGACGGTGGACACCGCCGGCCTGCAGCCGGAGGCGACGCTCTTCGCCAACCTGTTGGCGGCGCGCATCGGGCGCCTGACGCCGGGTCAGATCCGGCGCCTGCTGGAGGTGCTGGAGACGCCGGAGGAAAGGGGATAGCGGGGCCAGGACGCCTCACAGCGCCCCGGGCCGGCGCGTCTAGAGCGTGACGCGGGTGCGCCGGGCCGCCGCGCGGTCCGGCCGCCCGCGACGAACCTGCTCCGAGCGTCCGCGCCGGGTCGGGGGCTCGCGCTCCGGCCCGGCGGGCGCCTTCCGCCGCCGGGCCCGCGCCATGACCCCTTCGATCCACGCCGCCGTCGACCAGTTCCGCAGCAACCTGCGCAGCCTGCTGGACGAGGCCGTGCAACAGCACACCGAGGGCCTGCTCAAGCAGGCCGAGACCTCCTACCGCAAGGTGCTGCTGCGCGAGCCGGCGCAGCCCGAGGCGCTGAACAACCTGGGCGTCCTGCTGGCCGAGACCGACCGGCTGGGCGAGGCGCTGATGGTGCTGCGCCAGGCGGTCAGCCACAGCCCCGCCAACCCGGACTACCTGCTGAACCTGGGGCGCGTGGAGACGGTCGCCGGCAACCGTGGCGCCGCCGAACGCTCCTATCGCGGCGCGCTGGAGCAGGACCCCGGCCACGCGGAGGCGGCGCTGACCCTCGGCCGCCTGCTCGAGGAGGCCGGCGGCGCCGCCGAAGCCGAGGCGGTCTACCGCAGCCTGCTGAGCCATAACCCGGAAAAGGCCGAGGCGCTGCTGGCCCTGGCGCGGGTGACGCAGACCCAGGGCCGGCCGGACGAGGCCGAGACGGCGCTGCAGCAGGCCGTGGCGGCGGCGCCGGAGCTGGGCGAGGCGCACCTGCGCCTCGGCCGGCTGCTGCTTGCCCAGGGCCGCGCCGAGGAGGCCGCCGGCGCCCTGGCGGATGCCGTCGCCGTGGAACCGCAGGCGGCCGAGGCGCACCTGGCCCTTGGCGAGGCGCTGACGCTGCTTGCCCGGCCCGCGGCGGCCGCGCGGGCCTTCCAGGCCGCCCTGGAGCAGGCGCCGGACTCGGTGCCCGCGTGCGCCGGCCTGATCCGCGCGCTGGTCGCCGACGGGCGCAGCGCCGAAGCCAGCGACCTGGTCGCGGCCGACGCGGCGACACCGCCGGAGCTGCTGGTCGAGCTGGGCGGCGCCCGGGCCGAGGCGGGCGACGCCGAGGGCGCGCTGGCGGCCTACGGCCAGGCGATCTCGGCCGCCCCGGCCGACGCGGCGGCCTACCTGCGCCTGGGGCCGCTGCTGCGCGCCACCGGCCGTCAGGCGGAGGCCGAGCGCCTGTTCGACTATCGCAGCCTGCTCTACTGGCGGCGTCTGCCGGGGGTCGAGGGCTTCGCCAGCGTCGAGGCCTTCAACGCCGCCCTGGCGCAGATCCTGGCCCGCCGCCTGGCGCCCAACGCGGGGGCGGGCCGGCTGGCACCGCTGCGCGGCGGCGCCGAGATCAGCGGCGAACTCTTCACCGGCCCGCGCGGGCCGGCGCTTGAGGGCTTCGCCGCGACGGTGACGCGCCACCTGCAGGCCTACCTGGCCGAGCGCAAGGGCCTGGCCGGCCACCCCTACTTCGCCGCGCCGCCGCAGACCGTGGAGCTGCGCGGCCAGGGGCTGCGGCTGCCGGCCTCGGCCTTCGTCGAGGCCCACGCCCATCCCGCGGCCTACCTCTCCGGCGTCTACTATCTGGAGGTGCCGCCCGAGGTGGCGGAGAGTCGGGACTCGATCGCCGGCTGCCTGCGCTTTTCCGACGCGCCGCGGCCGAGCGACTGGTCGAGCTTCGAGACCTTGCGGCCGAAGCCGGGGCTGCTGGTGCTCTTCCCCAGCTACCTCTGGCACGCCGCCATCCCGTTCAACGCGCCCGGCGACCGCCTGTCGATCGCCTTCGACCTCTTCGCCAGCCGGCCGGCCCCGGTGAAGGGGACGGCGGCGCTGGCGGGCGAGCCGGCGGACGAGCGCTACCAGCGCCGCTACGTCACCGGGTAGCGCGTCTGCCGACCGGCATCAGGTCCACCTCCGGCCCGCCTCAGGCGGCGCGCACGGTCGCCAGGAAGCGCTCCACCTCCTCCTTCAGGCGGTCGGTCTGCTCGCTCATCGCGCCGGAGGCGTCGAGCACCGCGTCGGCGGCGCGGCCGGTCTCGCCGACCGACTCGCTGACCTGGGCGATGTTGGTGTTGACCTCCTGGGTGCCGGCCGAGGCCTGGCGCACCGTGCCGGCGATCTCCTCGGTGGCGGCGTTCTGCTCGGTCACCGCCGCGGCGATGGCCTCGGCGATCTCGTTCATCTCCAGAATGGTCTTGCCGATCGCCTGGATGGCGCCGACCGAGTCCCGGGTCGCGGTCTGCATGCCGCCGACCTGCTGGCTGATCTCCTCGGTCGCCTTGGCCGTCTGGGTCGCCAGGTTCTTCACCTCCGAGGCGACCACCGCGAAGCCCTTGCCGGCCTC